GGATGATGGTCGGTCCAGGGAGGAGATGAGATTCAGGATTAGAAAGGAACACATAAGGACAAGAGCTTCTCAAGCTTTATTCCTTTGACCACTTTTTGGGTCATTTAGAGGGAAAGAAGCAAAAGACTTTTGAGGGTGTAGAGGCTAATTTTGATAGATTTAAGGAAACATGATTCGAAACCCGAAGTTTTTGGATAAAAAGGTCATCCTCTTCATTCTTGTGAAGCTCTAGAGGAATTCATAAATATTTTACTTAACATGTAACTATTTTATATATGGGCTCGTACTCCATCGGTGTTTGTGAGTATATGATATTTTTAGTTCAAAAGGAAAAGGGGGAGACAACTTTCAAGGGAATCATAAAAGTGAAACAATCGCCCTAATTTTGGAAATGAAAAATAGACAAAAACACAAATCAATATTTCATTTGACCCAAAAGGAAATTGAAATGCAGTGATAAAGTAATTTCCAAATTTCGAGTAGCTTTAAAATCTACCTTTTTGAATGAAACAGCATTGACCTCTTTTCATGACCCTTTTTTTTAAGATTATGGCTTCTGTGATGAAGTCTAGATTAGACATTAAACTCACAGAACAAAGAAAAATGCACCACAGTAAGAAAATAATTCATAGCAAACACATTAACTTTCAGAAGGGAAACTTGAGCAGATCAAAAGTACCTGCTGCTCTTTGAGCAAGATAATACGAATCATACATTCGATATACCCAAAATGGCCAAAATGCTTTTGGAACTCTACGAAATTGGTTTAAATCAGCAACTTTCTGAGAGCTTGTTGACCCCTCCCCTCTTTGACATCTTCTTTGTGCCATGGAATCCTTCCTAATTTCTAAGCCAACATCTTCGATTTGGCTGTCATTATCAAAAAGTGATGATCTACGGGATGCAGAGTTGTTCTGACAAGATCGGCTAGATTGAATATCTGATTCACTAACCCTATCATCATCACTGCTTGTTAATTCATCCATCATGTCATAGTCATAATAGGGATCAACCACAGAATGGTGAATTCTCTTCTCTGTTGGTGAAAGTGCACTTTCAAAACTTTCCTCTGACCCAGCTTCAGACTCATCATCTCTACCTCCATACCCATGTGATGAACCACTAGAAGGTGGCAGCATATGTGAGTGACGGTGGGCCCTCAAGTTCCTCACTGGGCCCGATTTCCCACATGCATCCTTAGGGATCTTTAGTGGCACATCTTCCTCAATAATTTGAACCTCTCCGCAAGGCTATAAGAAAATGTGCATAAAAATCAGCCTTTTATCACATAACAATAGCCTGCTACTTGGATTAACAAAAAAACTAAAAACATTAAACTATTCCAACCGCTCCTCCTTCATCAATCCAACGGCGCCTTAGGCGAAATCGTTGTTGGCCGCGAGTAACCAGATTCAATGAACCATCCTCCAAGTGGCGATACTGCCGAATCTGCAAGTAAATGCCAGGGTGCATAGGCTACATAATAAACATTAAACCAACTACAACTGTTCTTCCCAAAAATACTAGTTTAACAGTGTAATTATCAAGGAACAAAATTAAGGAATCTCAATTCTCACCTAAAAAGCAAAAGTCACAACTATAAAGTTCTAACTTTTAATCATAATATCTACCACAAGCACAGGGAAATTTTTGAACATTATAAAGCAGAAACCAAGCAAAGAGCACAAAGAAGTGTGTAAATGAAAACACCTTTGAGGACACTTGCCAAAAAGGATGGATGCAAAATGGATAAAAATTTATTTCCCTTCCTAACAATAGATAAAGCATTCGACATACTATAACCAATAACTTTGTTATATCTGGTTCTAAGAGATACAAAATCATCAAACAAGATCTATTGTCCTTATCTTGTTAAATCAAATTTAAACTCTCTGACATCCCACCAGCTTCACATGATCTTCTTATACAACAAACTTCTGGGAATAATCAAATTGTTACATTCCATATCTATTTTGCAGCAGCCTAGAGTAAATTTACCAAACAAAGAGGCCATAACTTAGCAATCCCAGGAACTATCATGTCCCATAGTAATTTAATAAATCACCCATTTTGCATCAATATGTGAAAATCTAATTAGTGCTAATACAATTAATACGTATATCTTACAGAGATCATGTATGTGACATTCAACACCTAAATAGTACTCAAATGGTAATTTGGCAACTCTCTGACTTTGAATAAACATCTTATATCCTCATTAAGTTTCCTCTCTTTTCCCCCTTAAGGACAAGATCGAGAAACTACACCTCTGCAGTTGTCCCTGTGATTGCAAATCTTGCTCGTGCACCTCCATAATCCCTATAAACACGAACCTAAAAAAAAAATTAAGACTTTTAAGCTTTCTAAGAAAAACAAAGAAAGAAAAAAGTGCTATAAACAGACAAACAAGAACAGCATCAAAGAAGTTAACTTACCACACCTATGGTATATGGAGCATCACTTGAGTCATGCT